TTTCCTTCTTTCTAACATTGGGAGGAGAAAACAGTGGCTGGTTTTCGAGGCCTGTGGTCTGAGTCCATCACGGAAGTCTAAAGCCTGAATGTTTAATCACAGTCCTACTTTTAAAATTGCCCTTACCCAATGTGTGACTCTCCATGAGTGTAATTTTGCTGATAGCCTCAGTAGCTTGTTTGGGTGAATTTGTGCTTTGAGATGGCAGGGTTGGAGAATTCCCAGGGTTCATGTCTATTGACATAGTCTCATTGCACATTTCTATTCATGACTCCACTTTTAGCAGTACAATAATTACAGGAAAAAAACCTGTGAGCTTCTAAATGTAAAACTGGTAATTTTTAGGACTAAATGTAAAATGGGTTAAAGGCTAGGCTTACTAAGTGTCAGTAGTACTTCAACAGACTTTTTGGGGAAAAATGATTCTGTCAATATGCATTCCCAAATGATTCTTAGATGATAATAGGTAATATTAGGGGAAAAGGGAATGAAGAAATGTAAAGATGAATTTGTGCGTTTGACATGAATGGATAAAATGAAACAAGCAAACAAATACCCTTCAGTCTTTTGCTCTAAATAAATTGGTGTTTTTAACTGAGCAAAACTTTCAAAATCATACATACTGTTCCATAAGTTTGGGGCAAATGACAGTCAACTCTTTATCTGGAAATTAGAAAGATCAAATTAAGAAATGTTAATGCAAACATGATTAGGTACATTTGAAAGATATAAAAGCTTGTTTGGGTGGCATGTGAAGAGATTTGATTTACTATGTCCATGCATTTACTCCATGTGTGTGTGTTTGCATGTGTGTGTGTGTGTTCCCATGTGCAGGAAAAAGCCCTAATGTCTTATTAAGAGTTATTGCTGTGTAAAAGTATAGGAAGATCTCATTGGTCATAATGTTTACTGACAGGCACTTTCAGCATTTAATTTATTTCTGAAAATGGGCATTAGCTTATTCCTATTGCCAGTATAAATTCATTTAGCATGTGGCCATATCCACAACACTTAATCTTGTCAACATGTAGTTACACCTAAAAGCAGTCTCTCTGGAATTACACAAGAATAAACACCTGTATAGTTGTTTCATCAAGAACCACTCTGTTGAGGAGAGAGATAACTGAAAAAAGAGAACAATTGTAAGATACTCCTCTTTTGTACAAGCAAAATGCTGTGCAGCTGTTTTGCCCTTTTCAGAAAAAGACATTACTAGTATGGAATCAGTTGTCTGCAACTTAAAATGACTTCATTATATTTTAAACCATCCTGGCTAAACAGTGACAAGTGGCCACTCTATTTTGAACAGAACATGAAGAATGTGCTCTGACAAGGTTGGACAGAGTTCCCATGACAATATCGCTCATCGTGTGTAAGATATACAAGGCATATCTGAACAAGTTTTTACTTTTTATTGTGATGAAAACTAGAAGCTCTTTTCCCCAACATACTTCATCAAACTATTTACAACCTCTGTAAAATTTGTGAGTTTTGAAAATACTTTTTCCACTATCACATATGTTACGAATACAGTAAAATATCTTCACTCTATTTTTAAAGATGCAGTATCCTTCTATTTCATTTTCTTAAGAAAATCTGGATTTCTATTGCAATTGCTCAGTAATTAGCATATTTAAAGTACCAATGGACATGGATTACTAAACAGATATTACTCTATAATGAAACTGTGAAAATATAGCAATTTTTATGTACATTTCTTAACTATAAAATGCAGGCAGAGTCATATATAGTACTATAAGCCGATTTCCTAATAAGGTAAGTAACTCACATGTCTAGACAGCATGGATTATTACAAATTCTTCTTAAAAAAGTTCTTTGTTGATATTTGTTAGCCTACTGGCTGCTGCGTATACAGTTGTGTATACACATGTGCATGTGTGGGGCCTGTCTGTACAGGTTCAGTGGAAGGCAGTGTGGGAATCAGTAGAAATGTCATATGGAAGACATGACTTACCAAACCCCTTTTCTAAACTAAAGCCAAATCAAATTGAAGAGACTTTTTTTATGGGATGCACTACCTCAGAAAAACTAAAGGAAGAGATTTAGTCAATGAGGTTTTATTCTAGAATACATTTACCTGCTAAGTCGACAGGCATCACTGAAGAGTGAAATCTGAGACTGGCTTATGACCTATGACTATTAAGGCTTTCTGGGCCTATTCTGATTCGGAAGAGTTATCTCACATTCAGTCCCTTATACGCAGACTGTAACATGGATGCTGGTATTCTTAATACTGCTTCATTTCTGTCAATCCTCACTATAAATGTCAAGACACCTTTAGAACAATATCATGGCTACATTTTTAAGCAGTCATAACAACATAACAAAGGCGTATTCATACATTTGAAGGCCTCACCTCACCAGATTTATTCAGTTGCAGCTTTGGTAAGTATAATAAATAAAGTACAGAATAAGGAATACTGCATCTTTATCCATATAAATGTTATCATTCTAATGAGCTGATTTCAAAGTGCAGAATTATGTTTAAAACACAAATGGCAATTTAAAGTCAAAAAGAATTGTATAAAAATGAACACAATCTTTATATAAGCTATTCCAAATTCCAACCATAATGAAAACGGCCTTTCTAATCGCCTGGAACTGGCATTTTGTAAGTTTTTCCCCTGACAATCATCTTCCTATTTCCCATTGAAGCTTTCAAGTGAATGAAAAGTGCTCTTTTTTTCTTCTTTTTTTTAAATGTTGTGTATGTTGCTGTTACTCAACTGCTTTTGAAAACCAATGTCCTACAGTGTTTTGTAGAAATGATGCCAGACAGAAGTATAATCTTTATGGGAAAGTCATTAGAAATCTCAGTCTAACTGCCTTAATAGAACTTAAAGCAAGTTATCAAGCAGGCTTCTCAGAGTCTACACACAATCGACAGGATGAGGACAGAGGTGGATGCAGAAGCATGAATCTTTTCCAAACAACTTAAGATCAGAGCATGAAAAGAGATTCTTAAAACCTTAAAGGCTGACCATCATAACTTTCCAAATAATGTGAATCCCTTGAAATCAATCTCTATACTGCAAACAGAAAATCAGGTCTACTGCAGCTGCTTAAACTGTTAACCGCTCTATGTGTACACATTCTCAACCATGCACATATCCCCAGCTGCAAATTGAACAGCTTAAAATTTAAAATCAAAGAATGCCTCTAGTTAGGGAACAACTGATAAGTTCTTTAGGATTCTATTGCTTTTTTTTTTTTTTTCTTTTCTGTTGCTCATGATGCACTGTGCTTTTTGAAAGAGGCTAGAAATGGACATGAGATGAAATGGAGGCTTTTTCATGACTGAAGACATTCCATTTCTTTCTGTCCCAAACCACTTTTTCCTTTCCATGGGGAAATACTTTTAGAAAACTCACCAAGGAGAATTTGCCATGTCCCAAGACAAGCCCCAAGGAAGTTTCAGTTCCTGAGGCTAGACCAGGGACTCATTCACTTACTTGTGCTTAGATCCCTTCTTAGAAGTACTGATATGTCAAAAGGGGAAAATGATGGAATGCTGACAGGTTTTATCAGTTAACTTACCATCTCAGTCTGGTCTCCACTTTCAGAGGATGAGGAAAAATGCTCCCTTCCCCAAATCCATCCTATGTTATTAGAAAAGTGCAACTCATTTAGTTCTGTGCTAAATTTAAACCAAGCTGTCACTCAGGAAGCTTCCCCTGCCTGTCAGTTTTACGAATTCTAAAAACCAAGTATACCTGTAATACTCTCAAGACATCTTTCAGCAGAGAAAAGAACTGGCTCTTTTTATGAGAGCAAGCAGGACTAAATACAAATCTACACTTCACTTGAGGGATGTGCCAACTACTTGCCAATGAGGTGCTGGTCTAGTACCAGGGGGCTCATGGCTGTGTGTGTCCCTGTCTGTGTTCTCTGCCACTGACTAGTAACCAACGCTGGCATGCATCAAGAGACCTTTTTTTAATTCCGAATGGTCACAGGTAATGTGAAGTAAGAGTTCCATACAGTACAGATAAAAAAAAAAAAAAAAAAAAAAAAAAAAACTTTCCAGGTGGTAAAAACCCCACTGGCTGGTGAGTAGTAGACTGTGTAGCTGAAGATGCTATTTATCACTAGAACTGCAGCCCTTGTTGGAGGGAAATTGCCTGATAAATTTTTGAGATCTGGCAGACAATATAGAGCACATATTTTTGAAGCCATAATTTGACCTGAAAATCATTATACTGTTGTTTAACATTTTAAAAAATTCCTTTGAATACCATCCAACACAAATTGTCCTTGTTTCAATGTTCATAGTTCTCGCTTCATCAGAACAAGATTATCTGAATTAGAAGATGATCCTAAAAAGGATAATTCTGCAACCGGAAATTATTTCAGAATGTCCAGACATTTAAAAATGAGCTAGTAATATTGTGAGGTTAATATGTGCAATTCCCAAAATTAAGTGTTTATAATTAAAATATATTGCAAAGGTCTTTGCTGGAGACCTTTTATATCTAAGCTATAAAAAATTCTAACAACAACAATAACAACAACAAAAAAATCTCACCAAGCCCCTCAGCCACAGAAAGCTGGAAAAAAAAAACCAGCTTGTAGTGGGCACAAAAATATGGTAATTTTTCTGAAAGAATCCTTGTTGGTAATGTATTGCTTGTTTACTGTATACTTTGCTAGTTGCAAAAAAGGTTCATAATTTTAGGGGGTTGATGGAACTAACACCTTCCTCTCATCCTCCGCACAGGATGAGTGGGTTCAATATCCCTGCAGATGCCAGTGCAGGACCATGGGTCCTGATACAGTTTAGAAAATGAAATCTGTATAGAAGAACCTATTGGAGAGTCAACTTATCCTTGGCTCTCCAAGAAAGGAAACTAGCACCATGTCAGGCTTTCTATGGGAAGCATTCTCTTTCCACTGCTTCAGTTCCAAGGAGAACTGACCCATTAACCAAAGAGTTAATTCCCAGCTATGCCTCCCTTGCCTTTCTAGTCACCAAATAACTGTTTTCAAACAAGAAAAGGGGAGCATAATCTTTAATTGTGGTACTCAACCGAGCAGGACAACAAACAGCAGAAAGATGACCTCAGTGCTGTAAATGGAACCACGACATCTAAAATGCTGGGGTGTTTTTTACAATCCCTTTAGTAAGTATGAAAATTGGTAACGTGAGTCCTCAGTGAAGTTATTGTAGGAAAGTCCTTTTATTCATTATTGCTTTTCTCCTCAAGAGGCGCATTATTCCCATCTCTGCTTTGTCTGATTTTTCATGTTCACTGACTTTGCCTGGGCAGCCCCACCTCTTACCTTGGTGCCAGTGTGTCTAAGAAAGTTTTTTTCCCCTGGTTCCTTGTAATCAAATACTAGGGGCAGGAAGAGATGATGCCTAGGTGACATAACACTGCAATTTGAAGTGGGGCAGTAGTTTTTTTAGACAGGCTCTTCCTATTCAACTACAGAACACCTCTGTGCCAGTCCATGCCAGGGCAGAGACCAGGACGAGACTTCAACTGCCCCTCTGCTCGAACAGATGAACAAAACAGAATCAAAACAAAACAAAAACAATCAACGACAAACAAATGAAAGATTCAATGTTGGTTTTCTTCAGGGCATGGCAGAATGACAAGTTGCGAGTGATATCTAGTGGCCACCATCGCGATTGCAAAGGGCTGCCTGAGTGCCCTTTCTTTGCAGGTAATGGGACCTCTCCGTCTGCTTCTTCGGTTCTACTTTCATGCTGCTTGCTGGTAACAGATTGGATGTGTGTTCTAGCTTACTCAGATTGTAACTAAAATTTCTGTAAAAAGGGGTTAACGGGTGGGATGATGGGAGATTCATCCAAATTTAAAAGGTCTTGCTCTAGCCATCAATTTGTGGTAGGTGACCTTTAAGGTATCAATAACAAAATGTCTGACAGCTCAGAAAATGTACAAGCTACAAACATCTTTAAATGGCAGAGGACACAGCACAGAAAACAATGTCTGTCTCTTCAGCATTTGCGTCACTGAGCTCCCAGGCCCACGTAAAGACGGTTCTCGTGAAGTCATGATGGGGGTTACCTTCAGACCAAAAGAAGTGTGCCTTCTTTTTCTGCTCTGGTTTCAGACATCGTGGGATGGTGATGCCCTTTTGTGTTAACACTGTGAAGGGGATTCAGCCCTGCTGAATTGGGTGCCGCTAAGAGATCCAGCTCTTACGCTCAGCTGGACAGGTAGCATTCCTCACACCAGCATATGCCTCCGGCGGTGCAGGGCCAAATGATCTGACCGGGAAAAGCTGCGATCACAGTCCGCACACTTGAATGGCTTCACTCCCGTGTGTTTGCGGTAATGCCTCGTCAGTTCATCTGAACGGGCGAACTTCCAGGTGCAGCCCTCCCAGGTACACTTGTAGGGCTTCTCTCCTGGAAGAAACAAAGAGACACAAGCTTTGGCGCTCCATCCATCACCTTGCCATAACAACCAGCCAGTGCTCTATGTTGGGAAACTGGTGTTCTCAATGAATTTTCCAGTTGGTAAATCTTTATCGGGAAACCTTACCATCCCAGACAGGTGAGGGTTTCAATCTTGTTTTGCCTGCTGTGACATCTGGCAAGCTAGTTAACACTGGTGTCTTCCATAAGACTTTGCCATCAAAATATCAAGAGGCATGAATTGATTGCCACTGGATATATCACCACCAGTAGACTAAAAAGAAATTACGAAAGCTTTACCCAGTTTGATTTGATTTGAAGGCTGAAAGTCACAAAGAATTCTTAAGGGCAATCAGTTACGCTTTGTTTCAGCCTGCCCCCTTCCCCTCCCCCCCCCCCCCCACCGACTGTGCATCATTTAGGTGGCTTAAGGGTATTTTAAAACACAATGTCCAAGAATATACACAAAATTTTATTGAAAAGATAACGTACTCTATTACCCTCAGATATCAGGTGTTAAGTACATATTATTCATAGATACCTACTTTTTGCTTGTCCTTTGGGGGAAAATCCTAGATACCTTAATAGCTTAAAGTTTACAGGACTTAAGAATCGGGGTAAGGCCTGAGAAATCATCACATTGGTCCTAAAGCTAAAAATCACAGAGAAAAGCTGTCTAAAGAAGTATGTAATTTGACCAGGTCCCTTAGTCAACTTGCAAGGACAGTAAAATATGCAAAGGCTGTGCTGGGAAAAGATACACTATCCATTGTCTAAATGAGCTCCCGGGGGGAGTGGGACAATAGTTGACCCAGGTATGCTGTTTTCCTGGCTCACATTCAGAATGGGAGGCTTGTCCCCGCACAACCTCACAAAAACTGATCTCTCTTCTGCCCCTTACACCCAACAATCTACATTGTGTTCTTGGTCACACATGGCCTCTGGTGAAAAGAGCCTAAGATAGGGAAGGGAGCTCTCCGCTGTTCCCCGTGTAGGAAGCTACAAAGTGAGTATTGCTGACACCACTTTACAGATGAGGAAACTGAGGCTCAAGGTAGTAACATTACTCAAAGCCAGTAAAAAGGTGCATGGCTCTCAATCCAGCACTTTTCACTATTTTACAGTGGAAAGGATAATGCTTATCCGATCTAAATGTTGTCACATCCTCAGACAGAGTTAGTGTTACTTTCCTAGGCACTCCCAGATCATTCGCTTCCTATTCTGTTACATCACCTATCACAATACACCATAAAGGTTTCTTTAGATGCCCTTCTCCTCTACCAGTTTCTGAACACTTGGAAATCCTGGACTATTCTGCCTCTACTGTTTCAGTTTCACTCGAGCCTAGAATAGCTGCCAAGTAAGTACTTGAATGTATTAAGAAATCTGCAACACACACACAGGAACATACACGGAAAACTACAGGACCCAATAAATGAGGTGTACCGGTAATGCCTACATGGGAAAACTAGACCGAACTGGACCCAGCATTTTTCATTCAACTGTTAAATCAATGCTGTCTATGTGGATCCTTCCAGGATCAAGTAGCCCTTTCAGAAGACAGTGAATAGTTCAGGCTTGTTAAATCTAGAAATACTGATGCACTAATTGTGGCCCCAGGTTGCTCTAGGTTTTTCTGAAAGGGCTCCTTTTAAGAAAAAGCCTACTGCCTGGATTGACACCAAACCTCAACTTCTGATTCATTGTGGTTGTCCCATGGAGACAAAACTGTATTTGCATATGTCCACTGACCAAAGTCTGACAGAAATTAAACAAACAAAAAAAAGCCACCAAAGCCCCTAACTTAAAAAGATTGGAGATCTACTATACAGTATATCAATGGAATTATTAACATGCTTTTACGTGTTACATGTCATCTGTTTTTGAAATTTATATTATAAGCATGGGTTCTAATAAGTTGAGCTTGATATAATTCATCTTTTCAAAAATACATCCATCTTTGGTGCACTTAGCTGAGCTAGTCGGATTTGGTCACCAAGAACCATCTCTTAGCTATTTCCTGTGTTGCTATGGAACCATCTAGAGAGAGTGTAAGGCCTACAAAGAAAAGAATAAAATGTCTCCTTCACTGGAGATGAGCATTGCTCAGCTGTGTAGTAGGAGGATGTGTGTTTCTCTCTTGGAGGAAGTAGCACATGGGATTAGATAACTAGCTGGGCATGGTTGCTCATGCCAGTAATCCCAGCACTTTGGGAGGCTGAGGTGGGAGGATCACTTCAGGCCAGGAGTTTGAGATCAGCCTGGGCAACAAAGTGACATCCTATCTCTCCCCGAAAAAATTTTTTAAATTAGCCAGGTGCAGTGGCATGCACTTGTAGTTCCAGCTACTGGGGAGGCTGACACAGGATCATCGCTTGAGTCCAGGAGTTCAAGGCTGCAGTGAGCTATGACTGTGCTACTGCACTCCAGCCTGGGTGGCAGAGCACAACCCCGAAAGAAAGAAAAGAGAGAGGAAAGTGGGAGGGAAGGGGAGTGAGAAGAAGGAGGGGATGGGGAAAGAAAAGCTAAGCTGCTGGATCCTGCCATTGGCATTCCTGATAGTAAAGAAGGGACTCCATGGTGGGGGCGTACCTGGGGAGGAGAGAGAGACGAGAATGCCAGGCTCATCTTAATAAGGATGTGAGAGGCTGGTATGGCCCAAGGTAGAGACAGTTTATACCTCAGGTGCTGTCTAGCTGTCTTTGTATTTCCAATTTAGTCACTTAACATTCTCTAATGTCTTCCTTAAGATGATACCAGCCATGCTTTCGTTTTTATGTTGGCTACTTAACAACGCTAGTTATGTTCTTTCCACTTGAAAATCAGAGCAGGGTGTGGTGAACTGTGGTGCCCACTTTTATAATTTTAAACGTTGAAAAAACAATTAAGAGAAATACTTTCTGCATAAAAATTATGACTTTTTATTGGAGTACAGCCACATTTATTTATTTCCACTTTGTTCTGGTTTTTTCCAGAGATGGAGAAGTTGAGCAGCTGCAACATATAACGTATGGCCTTCAATGCCTAAGATCTTTACTATCCAGTCCTCTACAGAAAGGGTTAGCCAACCGCTGATTATAAGAGATGCCCATCTCTGCTTTTCGTCGGCTTCAAGAATATGTTAGACTATTGAATTGGGGTTGTATATTACACATTGGGAGTTTGAAATGAGTTGGTGAGGGAATGTTTTAGTTACAGCTCAATCACTTATTCTCAACTTAGAATCCTCAATTCAAATCCTAACAGTCCTCTCAGTAATAAATACCCATGGTATTTCAAATACTTCAAATTGATTTCTGGACAACACAAAATGAGTGATCCTCTTAAAACACTCACCCACTGAGAACAGTGGCTCAGGCCTATAGTCTCAGCTACTTGGGAAGCTGAGGCAGGAGGATCCCACTTGAGGCCAGGAGTTTGAGACCGTCCTGGATAACACAGTGAGACTCCCTCCATCTCTAAAACAATAAAAATAAGAAAACTTGGCCAAGGACAGTGGTTCACAACTGCAGCCCCAGCTATTTGGGAAGCTGGAGGCGGAAGGATTGCTTGAAACCAGGAGTTCCAGTCTACAGTTGAGTTATAATCATGCAACTGCACTCCAGCCTGTGTGACAGAGCAAGACCCTGCCTCCAAAATATAAAAATAAATATATATATTTTTTGAGACGGAGTCTTACTCTGTCATCCAGGCCGGAGTGCAGTGGTGTGATCTTGGCTCACTGCAACCTCCACCTCCTGGTTTCAAGCAATTCTCCTCCCTCAGCCTCCTGAGTAGCTGTGCCAACACACGTGGCTAATTTTTTGTATTTTTAGTAGAGATGGGTTTCACTGTGTTAGCCAGGATGGTCTCAGTCTCCTCACCTCGTGATCTGCCTACCTCACCCTCCCAAAGTGCTGGGATTACAGGCATGAGCCATTTTGCCTGGCCAAAAAATAAATAATTTTTAGAAATGAAAATGAAGGCCAGGTGTGGTGGCTCAAGCCTGTAATCTCAGCACTTTGGGAAGCTGAGGCGGGTGGATCACGAGGTCCAGAGATCCAGACCATCCTGGCCAACATGGGGAAACCCCATCTCTACCAAAAAAATACAAAAAATCAGCTGGGCATGGTGGCACATACCTGTAGTCCCAGCTACTCAGGAGGCTGAGGCAAAAGAATCACTTGAACCTGGGAGGCAGAGACTGCAGTGAGTCGAGATCTCGACACTGCACTGCAGTGTGAATGACAGAGTAAAATTCCGTCTCAAAAAAAAAAAAAAGTTTTTTTTAAAAATTGAGAAAGGCTCACCCAACTTAATCAGACCTAGAAATATCCTCAGAATCTTCTGCTCATTAAAAAAATACAATAACCTCACCTAGGAGGGTGAAGGTCACAAGGTATGAAGTTCAGGAGTGCCTCTCTATATTTTACCTGGTAACAAAAAGTAAGGATTCTCCATCATGAGGGCGCCGCACCTCACCTCCAGATCCTTTAAATACAGTTGTGTTAAAAAAGCCACTCTGAACACTGATGAGTTACCCTCCTACTGAGTCTGGAAAGTGGGGTCACAATATGAGAAGGATCAGAAAGTAGGAGTTAAGACGTCCGGAGCTGTTTTTAGATGTGTATCTTAAAGGCAGAAGCAGCAGTGAAAACAGCACCTGGTAGAGCAAGGATTTGTCGAAACCCTCAAATGTAGAGTGGGGAAACAGTGCCACACTTGAAAAGTAGCCTGTGAAGTGTGATCAAGTGTACTAAACGATCATGAAAAGCAGGGGAAGAGGCCTCGGAAATAAAAGAGGCAGATGCTTCCCTATTCCTTGAATAAAACCAATAAAAACAATATATAAATTTTCTGCTAGGCCAGATGTGGTAGTTCATGCCAGTAATCCCAGCATTTTGGGAGGCTGAGGTGACAGGATCAATCACTTGAGGCCAAGAGTTCAAGACCAGCCTGGGCAATACAGGTATTGATCGACTTATGACCTATGCAACTTACGACCATTCGAC